TATAAACAAAGTGTCATTGTTGATCACCAAAATGTTGATATTAATTATAGAAAAACAGAAAGCAATTAATAATAGTACCAGGTGAACAACAATCATATCAATTTTCAAAAATACTTTCAACTCAGAGTAAGTGGAATACATAGTACATACATGTATTCTCTGTTGTTTCTTTTTAAAGATTTATTTATCTCCTTATTTATTTGGTACAGGGTCTCACTATTCAGTGTAGACTCTTAGTGATCCTCCTGTCTCAGCTTCGCCAGAGCTGGAATTACAGGCACGCACCACCATGCCCGGATTCAGTGGGCAGCACACCACCGGGCCAGCGTGGCATACAATACCAGAGATCAAACCCAGGTCCTTGTGCCTGCCAGGCAGGTGCTTAGATCACCGAGCTATCTCCCCAGCCCTAGGCTATTTAACTAATGTTCAATTAATACTAATAATTTAAAAGTATTTATGATCCATAAGTCAGTATGTGTGGATATAAAATATTTTTAAGTTATTTTGGTTTCACTTTATTTTTGTGGAATCATTGTTACTCACTCAACTACCCTATCTTATACATATTAGTGCTTTTAAATGATATCCAGCAGTACCTTGAGAATAATATTAGTATTAGTTATGGAATAATTATTAGACTTGTCTCAGCTTCTACTCCCTCACCTTTAAAATTGATTCTTGACCCCAACCCATCTGCCCCAAGGTTCCTGAAAGGGAGAGACGAGGTAACACCTGTCAAGGGTTTAAGCAACAGTGGCTGGCACCGTCGTTCAGCAGATATTACTCTTCCCCTCACCATTCTTCATAGGGTGGTGAGGTTTCCATTGTTATAGGCCTGTGCAACCTACGTTTACCCAATAGCCACTACATGGTAGGTGACCCGGATGTAAAGTAAATGAGCCCAACAATAAGGTGATAGGATATGGACTCTCTGTTACAGGTGGCATAACTGTACAAAAGGCCCCTTTAACTTCTTTTTCTTTATATTGTGGCTCCAACACAATATATTATGTTTCACCAAATATTCTCCCTAGATTCCTCAGAGACTTATTCCCAGCATGCTCAGTCTCTGGACGGCACCACAGGCAGTTCAATACCGCTGTACAGATCCTCTGAGGAAGAGAAGAGGGTGACAGTCATCAAAGCCCCGCATTACCCAGGGATTGGGCCTGTGGACGAATCTGGAATCCCGACAGCAATTAGAACGGTAGGAAATGCCAGCGTGTGCGTCTGCCCGGGTCTATGCAGACTCCACAAAGGATGGATTGTGTGTGGCTTTGTGCATTCCTAGGCCCTTATATAATGAGGATTGCCCTGAGTCGCTGAAGGGACGCTCATGAATGTTACGCTGTGTGGCAGAGAAAGAGGACTGTCCATGGAACAGAACGGCACAATCTGCTTTTCCATTTGAATTAAGATCATGAAAATTGTGATTCTGTTAAATGATAAAACGTGTTTTGTTTTGTTCGGGGTTTTGTTTTTGTTTTACCTTTTGTCAAGGAAAGGTAGAGCCACAGAGAGAAAAAACAAGAAATGACAACAATCAAAGAAAAAAAAAAAAAAAAAACCCTGTGAATCCTGGGGCTATGTTAAATTCCCACATGCATTGCAAACAAACCAGTGATTTATTTCTTGAAGTGGATGTGTGTTAACACCAGGAGATTGGGAGCTGTGGATTGGGGGTTGGGAGGTGAGATGATTGGAGTGAGGCGAGTTAGTGTCATGGGAAGGGAAAACTGTCCGGAGACAAATGCACATTTCAGTGTCCCGCTTCAGCTGTCCTGCGGAGAGCTCTCCAGGGATGATAAATGAAAGTGTTGAGATTTTTTTAGTCTTCGAACTCTGCCAAAGCATTGCTCAGTGCGCCTGGGCAGCCCCTCCTGGTAGCACACAGCAGCAGCAGCAGCACAGGCAGCAGGGAGCGCACAGGCAGCTGCTGCTGACCACGTCCACGCCAGGAGGTCTGGGCTACGGGAGCTGGAGAAGGAAGCCAGAAAGCCAGGATGAGAGGCACAGCATCTCTGCAGGTGAACCACAGGGGAGGGTGAGAAGGGCACCCCAGCACTGCATTTGCTTTGCCTGCTGCACCCACAAAAAGAGCTGAGGTGTTGCCAAGGGCCGCTGCCCTGGAATGCAAACTTGGGGAGCCAGAGACAATAATGGATAGATGAAAAGAGTGGGGACAATCTCGGGGGCGGGAAGCAGTGATAAGATTGGAAACACTGGAAAAGAACTAAAGAGAAAGTGAGTGTGTGTGTGTGTGTGTGTGTGTGTGTGTGTGTGTGGTAAGAGGGGTCCTTCCCCTCTGGAATTTTCATTTATTATATGAGGATTACATGTTCTATATACAGAGACATGGAGAAAGTGAGGGAGAGATATGTTTGTTATTCTAAGCATTTGTGTTACAGTTAAATCCGAAAAGGAAACCAGGATAGCAAACGTTGGGTTTTGGACTCGTTAGAGTGCAAGAATGTTGAATATGACTAATTATAAAGCCTTACAAGTCTGTGTTGGAACTGATGATTGTCATATTTAAGTGACAGAAAAAGTTCAGGCATTGTGACTAATACTCTCAGTCTTATGATGATTATATGTTTCTAGTGAAAGTGTTTTGTCATTTGTTTTCCTTTTAGACTTCCTGACTCAATAGGGTTAAAAGCCTATTTTTTTCTGTAACAATTTAGGAATACAACAGATACAGTGCCTGAGGGCTTACTCACTGTATACGTAAACTAAGACATATTTGCTTGCTCTCTAGTTATAAATTCTGTCTGTAAAGATTTTATCTGAGACCTGTGGGTATATTTTAAGTCAATAAATGATATAAAATGTGGACATTTTATAACTAGATACACTTCATCTGTAAGATACAATTTTTAACTGACGATGTCTTATTTTGTTAGTTTTTAGAAGGAAAATCTAAGATGTTTGGGATTGTTAGTAAAAATCAAGTAATGTCCATCTTTGCACGGTTTTTCAACTGCCAAATCAAGAGCCTGCTTAGATATGCATAATCAAACACATAAAATAAAATTGCATGCTAATTTCCCTTCTATACCATAGAAAACAAAATAGGCAGCACAGAGGTTCCTTAGAAGGAAGGATCGTTTTTTATGCACAATCATGCTCTTGGACCTTTAAGACTTTACAAACAAGGTACAGGTCTGTGGAAAGACTCCTCTTACTCACATGTACTATTTTGCAGTCCTAAAGAGGGCAGCCCCAAGTATAGCCGTGTTTATAAATGTGAGTAAGGCATCTGGGCCACAGCAGGCCAAGACTCTCCAAGGTTGGTTTTATTCCCCGTCCACGCAGAAGGCAGTAATTATCACACTCACATTGTTTCATACTTACCTTCTGCATGGTGTATATACCAGAGCCAGTACTACGCCAATGTACCATGCACTCTTTTTTTTTTTTTTTTTTTTTTTTTTTTTTTTGCGGATCTGGGGATTGAACTCATGCCGTTGCACTTGCCAGGCAAGAACTTATTCAGCTGAGCTATCTCCCCAGCCCCAATACCATGCACTATAGCATTTTAAAATGACCAACTTCTATCCAGGCAACATAATCTTCAGTAGTCCAGAAACTCCAGCAAGGCAAGGGTCAATATGTGCCACTTTTGAGGATTTTTTCGTGACAGAAAGTGGCCCCGGAGCACACACTCATGTGACCTGAGATATCTATGTTAGCCTTTTACTGCCATTTTTTAAAACAACAACAAAATCACTAGGGCTCAGCTCCCATGAGATTTTGTGACTAAAACATGGTTGCATGATACATGAGAGTCCTTCTTCTTTCTTGTCATTCAAGTGTAAGCCTTGCTTGATCATTTTTCACAGCCAGAAAGGGGCAAAAGCAGAGCACTATCACTAAATATTGAACATAGAAAATATGTCTCTTAGGGCCAGCCAGATAGCTCAGTGCACTAAAATGCCTGCTTAGACAGACCCAGGGACCAGGGTTCGATCCCAGGCATGTGTGTCATTCGTGACAGAAAGTGGCCCCTGGGGCGGGCTGAGACAGTGACTGAGACTGGGCATGGTGGCGGGCACCTGTAATCCTAGCTCTTGGGAGGCTGTAAGCAGGAGGATCCCTACGGAGTCCGACCTGTGTAGTGAGACTCTGTAGACCCTGTACTAAAGACATTTTTTAAAAAGTCTCTTTTCTGTTTAGAAATCTCTGCATATCAAATCCTTCTGAACGTTTGATTGCTCATAAACTGGACAGATGTAAAAACTAAAGTCTATTCAGCCAAGTTCGAACTGTATCATGAGGTCCTACTCATTATTTTCATGCCAAATGAGTTTGAAGGACACATCTAAAAGTAAATTTCCTCAAATTTGAATAGGCTTCTATTTTCATAATCTCTGCAATGGGTGTGACAATTTCTGTGATGGCATTTATAAAAGGAACCCTAAATGATCACAGTCCTGCTTTTAGAAAGGGACACTGAGTCTCAGGATTCCTGTCTTACCAGTCTCATATTCTCCTCTGCCAACTGACGGGGCATTTCCTGGCATCTCTGTGCTTGCCATATAAAGCTAGAAATGGCATACCTATGAGAACTTGCCTGATATAGGCTGTCCAGCAAGCAAAGGAAAGCCCTGTCTGTAGACTGCATTGCCATTCACAGTGATATAACTTACTTATTATAAGATTCCTTGTTACTGCTGGTTGTGTCCAGGAATGGAACAACACATTTTTTCACAGAGTTGTATCTTATTTTTGGTTGCTTTAGTACATAAAAAATAAAGCTCAATGAAAGAGCAATCAGTCTTTTGTGAAAGTAATATATGGTGGGTTGAGGCTGAAGCTTAGTGGCAGAGCAAGTACCTAGTAGGCATGATAGCCTGGGATAGATGCCCAGCACTAAAAAAAAAAAAAAACATTTTTAATGAAAAAACATATTTTTGTATCTTGTTTGAACCAACAAGAGTAATTGTACCCCTACCTCCTCATCACACTGCTTCGGACCTGCTCACCATCACTGGGTTATACAGTTAGTCAACAGTCCTCTCAACATTCTGTTTTAGGGTGCAGAATGCTGAGGTGACTAAGAACCAAGTAGCCTTTCATTTTAATCTACATTTGTGGACATTGCCAGAATTGGCTGTTCTCAGAGTTCAAAATAAATTTAGCACAAGATCTTCATTGTCCAGATGACAAATGCAATGACCCCATTTCTCAAAGAAAGTTAGGATGTAAAATCTCATCCAACACTTAGTCAAACAAGTACAAGAACAGGGCCAGCCAAATAGCTCAGTGGATTAAAGAACCTGCAGGCAGGCACAAGGGCTGAGGATTTGATCCTTGGGCCTGCCTTGCCAGCCCCGCCCCCTGAGCACACTGAGACAGCAATTGAGACTGGGCCAAAGGGGCTGGGGAGATGGCTCAGTAGAATAAGCGCTTGCCTAGCAAGCACAAGGGCTTGAGTTCAACCCCCGGTTTCGCCAAAAAAAAAAAAAAAAAAAAGAGAGAGAGAGAGAGAGAGATACTGGGCATGGTGGCGCATTCCTGTAATCCCAGCACTTGGGAGGCTTAAACAGGAGAATCACTTCAAGTCCGATCTAGTAGTGAGACCCTGTAGACCCTTCTCTAAAATGCAGGGGAAAAAAAGCACAAGAGCATTCTATAGCAGACCTACCAAATCTTAAAAATTAGCAGAAATTTTAAAAATCAAGATTTTTCTGGAAATTTTACAAGGTCTAACTGAAAAACACACTGTGTTTAACTATACAGTAAAAGACACATTGCCGTTAATTCCTCTCTAAGTACTGGCCCTTGCTTTGAGCATGGCTCATTCCACTGCTCCTTGTCACTTTCTGAAGAAGCTCTGGAAGCACGTGTTCATGAGCGTCCTTAGTTGCACTGTCCTGGTTGACTCAATGTTCTGAATTGGTCATGGACCTTTCAAGGTCATTTTGACATTTAAGAAGAGCTCAAAGCTAAACAGTACCAGATATGGTGATTAAGGTGGATGAGTAATATTTATATAATTAAATAAAGTAACACAATAAAGTACTGTAATAAAAATTATATAATAAAATATTTTAATATTTTATGAGTCTGCTATATCGCACTTGGCAGCAATAGTCACCATATTTTTGATCAGATCCCATAAAGACACATAGCTTTTTCTTTATTTAAACACACACCATACTGTATGATGAGCCTTTGTATTTAATAACAGAGTTTCTTGCCTTAGTAGCTCCAAAAGATCCAAGATAAAGACCTTACCAAGCAAAATGTTTAATTATAGTTATAAAGGTATAGGTCTGCTTTCACAGCTAACAAGAGAGGGTCTTTAGCCACATGTAAGATGGCAAGAAAATATGCACTTGTTCTTGAGCTAGCCAACAATTGTCACTGTTGTCCGTCCTTTGAGGCCCTCTAACAAGAAACTTTTCCACACCAAGTGTTGCCTGTCAGTCGAGGGTTCCATGTAACTGTTTTCAGTTATGCCTCTTTAATGTTTGGCAGTGGTATCCACTTCCTCATTGTTATGTGCCTTCCTGGCCACTGTGATCTCCTCCTACCACCAGAGGTGGCAGCTCCTGGCCATTCTTCATTGTTCTTCATTGTTCTCTGCTGCTTGAGCCCAACCACTGAAAACTCTCAGCACTAGTGGCCTTTGATGTTATTAGCCCTGGCTGCTGGAGGCTTTGGGTGCCAGGGCCTTTGATATTTCAAGTGCCTACTGTACCTATTTGTCCTGGAAGAGGCTTCGTTAGGACTTACGCTGAGGCATGAGGAAGGACAGCATGCCGCATTGAACCCGCTAAGAGAATGCACTTCATGCAGTCCCTTGTAAATGAAAAACAGGCTCTTTCATGCACATTTTCACACTGTTTGTTTGGTCGTGAGTAGGAAAAAAAGCCCCTCACAGGCTTGAGTGATGAAGACGGCAAGGGGAAGAATCTTACAGAAAGGCTACAAGACAGAGTCCCCTGGGACAGGCCCTTGAGTGAAGCCTGCTGCAGCTAAAACTATTATCTACCAACGTGGCCATGTGCCTGGTGTGGCCCGCTCAGCTACAAGGCTTTGCGGACAGCTGCAAAATAAAAGTACTTTGGAGAGTGTTGGTCTTTCTATCCTGTAAAGATGTACACCAATAAGATCGATTCAATCGGTATTTTATTCTACAAATATTTGAGAAATGTTTAAGATTCTTTACTATTTATGTTTATTGACAATTTAGTATATTCTAGGATCTGTCTTAGACATTTTTGTATATGTTATCTCATTCAATTTCCACCATGAACCTGTAATGCAGATATCGTTATTTTACCTAGAGAGGAGAAAATTAGGGCTCAAACTTTTACATAATTTTCCCAGATTCACATTGTTAGAAAGTATTAAACAATAATCTAAATCTTGGTTCAAGATGGAATTAATTTTGTCATGCCACTGCAGCTTTTTGTCATGTCCAAAGCCCAGATTACATGAGGATCTTCTCTCAAAGACCTCAGAATTTATCAAGGCAAAAATTGTGTACAGCTGATCATCTACTTAATGGAGTTTAGGATCAATAGCTACATATTTAAGTTGCTCTGGGACCCTAGATTATTTTCTATTATTTTCAGTTATTTTAGTAACCTAGACCAGTGTATACCAAATTTGTTTCTCTTAACCTAAGCTGAAAGTGTAGTTTTAATAAAGAATATTCTCTACTTAAAGAAAGTCTTGATGGAATACCCAATAAATTTTAAGAATAATTATAATTAAGAAATTAAAGACTGGGTATGGTGACACACGCCTGTAATTCCAGCACTTGGGAAGCTGAAAACAGGAGAATCACTGTGAGTCTGACCTGTGTAGTGAGACCCTATAGATCTTGTACTCAATACATATTAATAAAAAAAGAAACTAAGCAAGCCTTGCTTAAAAGTTTCCTAACCTTTGATTCAGGGAATTTTATAAAAATATATTTACTAACATCTGTTATCTAGTGCTGCCACAGCTATAATGTTCACAAGTAAAATCATAACATCAGATGTTTTAATTCAGCCTAAACTTGAACATAGGGTAATACATTTATATTTATACTTATATTTATATTTATACAAGTAACTGGATAAATTACTGAAATTGTCATCAAATACTAAGACAGATGCAGGAAATTTTATCACTGAAAGAACATGCTATTAAAAAGATTAAATATACGCTGTAAAAACATTGAAGATCAGTGATGACCTAAAATCTGTTCTGTAACTTTTGGACATTCTCTATTGCAGACGGTCGACCGGCCTAAGGACTGGTACAAGACAATGTTTAAGCAGATTCACATGGTGCACAAGCCAGGTGTGTTCACTACTCTGCTTTCTGACCAGGTCTTTGTGGAGCAGTGTTTATACCTCTTTCATATATATCTAGTTTGCACAAAAAAGTCAAGACCCCAACAAACGTCCTTCCCCCTCATTCTTCTCCATATTGCTCTGTTCTTGTATCTCCCCTCAAGTCACAGATCTGTGCCTCCCCCTGAATCCACAGTGCCTCTTAGGAAGTGCCCTGGGAGGACTGCCAGGTGTTCTGGTCCTGCCCTTCTGTCCTTTCCTCCCCACACCTACGCTGTCATATTGTCTGCTTCCATGACTCCGTGTTTCTCTGTCCACACTGTCCACTCCTTATCAAGACCATGAGTTCAGGTAGGTCTGGCTGAGTTTGCTTAGTGCAATCAACAGAAGTTCTCTAAAGTAATTGCTAAAGGAAAATCATGACCCAGAAGAGATAGCTGCCTGGGCAAGTGAAGACAAGGGACTGACTTTGCATGCTATGAAGAAAGCAAGCAGCAAAACAACCTCTCTGCAGAGGCCCAGCAAAAGCAGTATTTGGAAATAAAAAATGCCATTATGTAATAGGAAAAATGCATTGCTTCTTCTCACAAATTTCTGTTGTTTCTCTGAAATCCTGCTGTCTTGTGATACAGTCACAGAATCTGTGTTACCTTATTTGTGTTTCATTTCTAGATGATGACATAGACATGTACAATACTCCTTACACATATAATGCAGGTAGGATGGCTTTCCTTGCATGTGATGACTGCTTTATGCTTGTCAATGTTGGGACGAACTGCACAATTTCTTGCTTTGGCCCCGTTTGACCACACGCTGTCAGTTCCCATTAGGAGGATGCTATCTCCTCTCAGAGTCTGCATAACAAAAAGATCGACCCTTTCTCATGGAATGAGAACCGATACTGTTTTATCTCATCTCTTCCCACTGTTAGCTTTTTATCAGTTTCAGGAATGTTTAACCAAAGTGTGAGTGACAGTGTGAAGGAACATACTGTGACTCCAGTATAAAATAAGATCATAATCTTCTGCTATCAGCAGAGTGATTACACTTGGGGAAGCTTTGTCAGATACATTTCCCCAAAACAAGTCAAACTGTTTTGTGACCTTGTCCAGGCCTTTTACCTGCATTTGCAACCATTTAATGAAAGGTTTTTTTAAAAATATCATTTGACTGGACAACATTTTCTGATTCAAAATTGCAAATGAGCATTATTTAATAATTTCAATCCTAGGCATTTCCAGTTGTATTTGAGGGTATTAGTACGTTATGCAGTGGTCTGAGGACTCGAGTCAAGATCCCTAAAAATGTTCCTATTTGTTGCTTTACTCTAAATGGAGGTGTTCATTCAGTGCCTCCTTCTCCTGCCTAGGCTCAGCCTAGGACTCCTTGACCAGCTAAGCCCTCATGTAGGGAGCCTCAGGCCCCCTGGCAGCTCAGTGGCCTGATGCTGCTCCTCTGTGGCATTTGAACTCGGGCCCTCTAACTGTTAGAGATTTACTACTCATCTCAAAAGTCAAATTGAGAAAAAGTGAGTAAAATAATCCTAGCAAGCTATCACGCCTCTGATTTTAGGTCCTGGTGCCATAATATCCATTAAGATATTCCCTTCCACTTTCCTTAATGGTCACAGATGCACCAACTTCACCTCCTGTACTGAACTCAAAAGCTAACATCTTCAGAATTGAGGCAACAATTATTAGCAAAGACATGTTGTTCATCTGTTGTGGAAATTTGCATGAACTTTCAGAGCTGATGAACACAAATAGCACAAAAGTAGCAAGTGGGAGAAAATTCAGAATTTTAATACTTTATAAAATAGCAGCCTCTTATCTATTACTGTACAGAGCCCTACAAGTTTTAGTCTCCTCCTTTTTTATTAACCCAATACCTTACTATATTTATGTCCTACCTCTATTGCCTTTTCTTTTTCCATGCTATCCCTGCAAATCTTTTTCATTCACCCAAATTAATCCTTTTGGTCATAGATTCCATAATATCTTCTCTGACAAATCTGACATTTTATAATCCAGGAAAAATATTGGCTGAATTCCTGTAAGTTTATTCTTATCAATGGTTTGGATTGGTACTAATTCCAAAATAATTGATGATGATTTGCTGTAATCAATGCTTGTGTGAAGAATAAATCAATATTTAATTCATGAATAATGATTAGTAAATTGACACTTAACGAACTAAGATGGTCTTATTTTTTTTACCATGATAGGTCTGTACAACGCACCCTACAGTGCTCAGTCACACCCTGCTGCAAAGACCCAGACCTACAGACCTCTTTCCAAGAGCCACTCTGACAATGGCACCAATGCCTTTAAGGAAGCGTCCTCCCCAGTGCCTCCCCCACATGTTCCCCCAAGACCCAGAGATCAATCTTCAACAGAAAAGTAAGGCTTTCTCTCCCAATGTGGCCTATAGTTCACTCAGAGTAAAAATAAAGCCACATAGCATTCAGTACAAGGGTCAATGCAGACAGAATGCATGCACAATGCTTTTAGTCTATACACATATTTATTGAGTCCTTCTACTAGGGTTGTAGCAAAGACTGTTACAGTAGGGGGTCATGACATCACAGTGCCCTAAATTAAATGTGAAGTAACATAGTCCAAATGTTCGGTGATTGTTTAAATTTTAAAAATTTCTTAGAATAAAAGACACATTGCCCTTAATTCCCCTAAAAACACTCCCTCTCACTCTAATACATGTATCTCATCATTCTCATAATTCTTTCCACTGGCTGAAGCAGTGCTGAAGTCCTCTTTCATATGTGCCTTTGCAGTGTGATTAAAAACATAGTGAATGATACTGCTGTCACCCAACAGAAAGACTGGCTTGTAAAAATGTCCTTACCCTCTTGATGTGTCCACTGTGTGGCTTATGGCTTCCTGCCAAAGTCAAAATGACCACTGAAAGGGCATCAAAATAGCCACAATGCAGTTAGAGACACAAAAGCACACTTTGAGAGTTGCTCCAGGAAGTGGCAAAAATGATGGGATCTGTCTGAGGCAAGAGGGAGTATTCAGAAGGAGATTAACAGGAATGCATCTCATACTGTCGGAGTTTTTTACATGTATTTTTCCACTGGACTGCATATGCACATCTACTTCTTGATCAATAAGTGCATCTAAGAAATAAAAACAATTAAAGTATGCTTCTCTTGCGATATAATAGGTTAGAAAAAGTACAGTGAATTTTTAGTTCCCTGGGATTTAAAATATGTAGTCTATTAATGAAGTATTTTTGTGAAATCAGGGAAAGTTATTCATGAATCCTAAATCAGGCCTTAGTTAATGAGTGTCCATCCATGACTCATCTCTACCAGCTCTTAGAGCTGATTCTAATTTTGACTTTTCCCCTGAAATATTTTTATATGAACTTTTCACACTCAAATAAAAATTATGAACACATTCCTATGGTGTCATTCTATTAGGCTCGTGACAAATATTCTCAGTTATAGGCAATCTTTATTGAGGGCTCACTGCAATCCAAGCACTAAGACAAGTACTTTTCCTATAATTCCAGGATCATCTCAGTGACACATGCTCTACTACAGAGAGAAAGAAGCTGTTGTAATTTTCCCCATTCATGCAGCTATTTTGCTTAAGCCAAGATTCAAACCCAGCTCTGCTTAAATCCAAGCATACTCTACCTCTACTGACAATTAGTAAATAAGAATATAAAAATTAATCTTCGGTAGCACTGATCCTTGTGCATTATCTATTATACCATTCAGAAAAAAAATAAATTCAATACTGTTTTCTGGTTATGAGAAATCAGTGATCAAGTAGAGTGCAGGATGCTGAAAAAATGGATGCATCAGGGCCAGCCAAATAGCTCATGGATTAAAGCGCCTGCAAGCAGGTGCAGGGACAGGGGATTCGATCCCTGGACCTGCTGTGCCAGACCCACCCCCCCAGGGCACACTGAGAGGGCAATTGAGACTGGACATGGTGGCATGCACCTGTAATCCCAGCTCTTGGGAGGCTACAAACAGGCAGATAGACCACTATGAATTTGATCTAGTAGTGAGACCCTGAACACCCTGTAGACCCTTCCTTAAAAAAAAAAAAAGGATGCATCGTGTTTGAAGGATGTCTCATTTTGTTATTATGATCAATTGTGTGTGAAATCTTAAAACTGAGGGATAATTGTCTAGTTACAAAATATTATCTTTACTATCAAAAAGAATCAAAACTGAGAATTTTAATGTAATATTTGTTCTACATGCCAATAAATAATCTCTCATAAAGAAATATGTTCTGCATGAAAAAATAGACAAAATTTTATTGAGTGTTTTACACAGAAATCAGACTGAAAAACTTGGAGTCTGCTGAATATTACACATCAGTGTAGTAGAAAACTGGGACTTCCCCTGAGTCTGTCCCTTAGAATACTTCTATTTCCAACATGCACTGGAATTAGAACTTCTCCAACCTAAAAGCAGAAAATTAATCTTCCTAAAAAGATAAATCTACAATCGATAAGCCCTTCCTCCTTTCCCAACAAAAGCCTTTCCTTTTCATCCTAGCTTCCTAGAAAAGCTGGACCTGCCAAATCCTTCTCTGAAGCATTACCTATGGTGCCCTAACAACCTCTGAGTGATGTTAGTTGAGGAAAAAGGGCAGACTTCAGTGAGACAGATGTTGGCTTCTGGTTTCTGAAGGCTAGCACTGAAGGGGCTCTCCAGGGGCACTCAGGCTGTCCCCGTGTATCTCACTCAAGTGACACTGCTACACATGCCACAGACACGCTGATGCTACTTGCAGGGAATAAGACCAAACATGATATGTGATTCCTCCTTGTCACTTTGGATAGCGGAAGCCACGTCGTGGAGTATGGTAGGTTAAACTCTCAAGCTTCAGGGAGCATACTGTGATTTATTTTAAGCTCAAGCAGATGCAGCTGAATTAGTGACAGAGGGCTTCACTAACAGTCACTATATGCATGTCAACAAGCAAAATAGTGGCAGTTTTCAAACCAGGAGTAATAGGCACATGAAAAAAAATAGAGAAAAAAATAATATAAAATAAAGTGAATTGCTTTACCTAAGTCATAAGCAAAGCAAAGTGTGGTACTCTCCATAGACTGGTTATCCTGATTGCTTTTTAAATCTATGCCAAAATTACTTTGAAAAAATAGTAAGTGGTATTACACAGCCATATCAAGGATACAGGATTAATTTAATGTGTGATTTGCTATTCATTTCTAGGCATGACTGGGATCCTCCAGACAGAAAGGTGGATACCAGAAAATTTCGGTCTGAGCCAAGGAGTATTTTTGAATATGAGCCTGGGAAATCATCAATTCTGCAACACGAAAGACCAGTAAGCACTTGCCATTGACCCCAGGGCTAGCTCACTTGTCTTCCAGGGTGCCCAGAAGAACCTAAGCTTCCTGTCACTTAGCAATTTTTGCCACAGAAATAATTTATTTTTTTAGCAATACTTTGGATCAAGTTTATTTTGTGTTATTTGTGCATCTTACGTCTGATTTGAAAGATTCACTTCAATAATCACTTTTATATAGTGTGTGTGTGCAGGGTTCATATCAACGTACATCTATAGCTTTACCTTAATTTTAAGAAACACCCATAAATTTGCCATTTAATTACTATAAGAAAAATCATTTATTATATATCCAGATATATCCTTTGGCTCCTGTATTGTATTCTTACTATTTTTTCTTCACTTAAGGAGAAATTTTCCAAATACTACTTTTATAACAAGTTATTTAATTCATCTTCATTAAATCTGAGGTTACCAAGCCTCAAGTTTCCTGACTGTCTTCCTAATGGATCAAGATTATATTTCATTCTACATTATTTTTCTAATCATTTATTTTAATTACATACAAACAAAAAGATACATACACTTGGAAAAAAAAAAAAAACTTTCTTCCTCTGATTTCAAATTCACACATTGGCTCTTCCTTTCATGTCTGATCTTCCCATTCCTCTGCCTCTCCTCAGAGCTCAGTGACCCCCAGAATCTTTTTGAAACTCTGCAGTTCCTCTGCCTCTCCAGGCTGCTTCTAGAAAAAAATTTTACGCCAAGAGCAATTCACTCATTTCCTTGCCTTAAAAGAATCTTAGAATCAGTGAATGGAAAAATAAAATTTTATTTGTTAGCTCCTTCAAGAGTTTCCAAAAGAACCATGCTGTTATAGAGAATGCACGGCCAGTGGCCAGTGGTGAAACTGAACTGGAAATCCTTGCTCCGCCACACCCATTACAAATGTTCTTGATTTCATTTTTGAACCCTGCATTTGTGGTTGTGTTGTTGAGAAACATATTCTAAATCCTTACAATCACATAATTCCAACATGATATTTATGTGGGTTTTTTTTCTTTCTTCAAATAACTCCCTTTTTTTAGAATAACAAAACTTCAACAACATCAAAAAAAGAAAAGAAAAAGAAAGAAAGAATAAAAAGAATAGAAAAGGACTGACTGGGACTGCAGAGATAGCTCAGCAGTCTAAGTGCCGGCCCAGGCAAGCGTGAGGACCCAGGTTCAATCACCAGTACAACAGGACTATCACTGAATTGAGGCTCCATTGCAAACTAATAAGCCATTTGGGGGATGATATGACTAAAACCTGGTTATCTCAAGGTACTGTGAATATTCCCAGGGTAAGAATTTAGTGGATCACAATGTCACCACTGCATAAATTTTAAAAGACAAAAATAATGAATCTTCCATTTAAATTTAAATGGGAAAACTATAATCATCATTCTAATAATTTACCAGAGACCCTTAGGGTGACAAATATAGTAATTATACTGGAATGTTGATGTAGCTGTGGTGCCAGAAAACAGGATTAATGTTAGACGTTTTCCCATTAGCATATTTCTATTATTTACTTTTTCAGCAAAGTTGTTTAGGCAATAAGCCAATTATGTGTCCCACTTGATGTTGGGGTCTGGGGACACAGTTGGGAACAAGATGCAATCTCTACCTTGAGGAACTTCAAGTTTGTCATTTTATGTCACTACATGACTAGATCCACATTCCCACAAGTAAGCAACTTCTTCAATGGCTAAAATGGAGGTACATCTAGAGCTCATTCACGGCCCTATCATTATGACTAAAATTCCTACCTCATCAATTCTGTGGGTGAAATCTTTGAAGACTCTTATTTCAGAACAGAAATAATAACAACAATGATAGCAGTAGTCATAAACCATTACTAAGCACTGTATGAACCAGCTCTGTAATTAGTGATTTATCTCATGTCATGCCTCCAATAACCGCAGAACATATATACACAGTTTTCTAATTTTATAAATGAAAAGAGTAAAGTGTATATTAACTAACTTTGCCCCAGGGCTACATTACTGGTGGTTGCAGGAGCCAGGGGTTGAGCCCAGGCATGTCCATGCATGGTGTGCTTGGCTGCTACTGTGTCAAGTTATCTGCATAGGAAATATTTAGCCAGAAGTCCTTGTCACCTTACAGTTTGTTATTTTACAATATAAAATAGTCTTTCAGTGTCTAATTTATAGTAAATTTGAAGTATTGGATTGAATGTGCCAGAAACCTGGGCCTTGACTAATTAGGACACAAAACGAATCTACCTGACTGGTCTTAATCACATAAAAAGGTCAGAAACCATGGTGTTGACGAGAGATTCACAAGTGTAAATCCCTTGAGCCACAAGTAAAGAAAAGTAAGAGAAACTAGAAACTTGGAGGGTGTACAGCAAGTTATATGAAGAGAAGGGTAGCAATACTGAAATTACATTTGGCATATTTTATAAAAAGAAATAAAAAGGTTGCCAGAATCTGGTATCTTAAATTAACGTACAAATATTAGTTTTGCTATTTTCCTTTTCCTTATACGATTATCACTGAAAATAAGATTTCTAATAGTTTATGAAAAATTTTAAAGATTTAAACAATTATAACTTTTCTTAATTATTGAAATTATTTTACACGGGTCTTTTTTTTGAAAAAGAAAACTTGAAAGGGAACAAGAACAACAGTCTTACAGAAAAATGGAAAGAAAACAAAATCCTACCTCTTCTAAATAGTTTACTGAGGGCTAGGCATATGCAAAGTGTTTGACTGAGTCCTGTTTATCATTTTGGCCAGGTTTTTTTATAAGGATACTAACCCACTGCTTTTTAAAATGAACTCTGAATTCATCCTAATTACTATAAATCAGAAGAAAAATAAAACAGAAGGTCAAGAGGGTAGCAGTGATGCAGAGATTAGCCGTGTATTCGTGTAGTTTATAGAAGAATCTGAGTGTCCTGAACACACAAAATACAGAAGAGAAGGAGCAGGCTGGCTACATGATATTGGTGTGATGGCCGGTGGACAATACTTAGAGACTTCAGCAAACCTTCCTCTCTTCTTATTCCAAGATTGGGAGCATCCCTTTGTCCCTTTCATTTTTCATCCTGGAAAATTATTTGCAATATCTATGCAACTCTGAGTTGCTCTTTTGAATTCCTAGGTAATTCCACCATTGGTCCAGCTTTCCTAGGCATCACCTTGGATACCCGTCTCTTCAGTGGACTCAAAACCACACACACAAGGAGAGATGCCAGTACCAGGTCTCCTCAGGACAATATACTCCGTTGCCTGGATTATAGTGACATCTAGCTGATCCATTTTGCTAATTCTCTGACCTAGTCCACACCACAGCTAAAGCCATCTTTATAAAATCTTTATAAAGCCTTCAGCTCAAAATGTTCTGCTGGCTCTCCAATTATCCCTAGAACAAAATCCAAATGCTTTAACCTAATTTACAAGAATGCAGCTTTAGCCCCAGCTAAGTTCTCTGGCCCCAGCTCTTTTCGGCCTACCCTCCTTCCCACACTATGTAGGCGCCGGCCACACAGAGGCCTTGTACTCCCTTTCTTATTAAATCTTCCACAGCCCAGGCCCTCTGGTAGGAAAGCCCTCCTCTTCACCTCTCCCTCCACATGAAAATTTATCTCATCCTTCAGGTCTCAGGATAGGAGGTTGTCCCTCCTCAACTCTAGGTATAAAGCTCCCCCTGCTGTACCCCAATCTCCCTGTCCACATTGAACTGCAATGGCCTGCCTACATCTCTGTGCCCCTCACTAGATTTTTAAGCTCCTTGAAGGTAGGACTATGTGTGATGAAGCATTATGTCCCTAACATATAACATAATGCCTGGCACATGGTAGGAGTACAGTGGTTACATCCTGAAGAAAAGAATGAACACAGATGTTACACTTGTGGCTACAGGATAAAACTAATGAGAGACTAAATCCTTTTTCCATTCCTTATTTGTAAAGTCTGTATGTTTCTAGTAACAAAAGACTCAGAGAGTGTCCATCAAGGCAGGTAGGTGGCCACTAACATAGTTACTAATGAAGATTTTTTTTTATTTTTGAGGTACCGGGGATTGAACTCAAGACCCTGCGCTTGCCAGGCAGGCTCGTATTCTACCACACTGTTACTAGTAACTGTGGCACTGACTTATACCATTCCCTTGAGTACAAAAGAGGCGGAGAAGGCAATAAATGTATACTGAGTGAGTCAAAGTGCACCCAGACCTTGGCAAACGACGCTCCCTCTTCAGAAGCCAGTGACGTGTGGGTTTACGCTCTTTAACAAAAAGCAAAAGTAGATGCACTTCTTTGATGCTTATAAATATTCATTTGACTATAATGTTAGAAATTTTGACTAAATGGGCCTAAATTTGTCCTTGAAAAAGACTTTGGAAACACCAGGGATTTATCTTGACCCTCAAATTAAAACCACATTTTCACAATTTATTCATTCTAAGAGACAATCATACAAACTCCTCTGTGCTTTATATTAACTTTATATATCATCTAGATTGGCTATATTTCTAGATGAGTCATGTCAATTTTTTTAATTTTAAGAAAGTATTTGTTTAGGAGCTCTCTAAGCTTAATGCAAAGATGCTACCTTTCTCTATGATAAATGAACCTACACACAACAATAAAAGCAGAAATAGCATTGAAAGTGTTGTGTAGAGTTGAAAAGCAATTTAAACCACAAGAGGATATAAGCTTCCTTATCAACAAAAATTGCCAGTCAGAGTTAAAGGTATAAACATTTGGGGAGTTTTATCTGATGCTGTGAACCATAAAGAATTACCCCACCAGCAATGACTTTGGTATTTACTGTAGAGCCACAATAAATACATACAATGTAGCAACCAATTCATTGAAGCATAGAAGTTAATGAACATATAAGTGTTCAAATACCTTTTGTTTGGAATGACATATAGAAACAGAAGACTGACAACAATGGAACTTCTGTATTACAAAGAAGCTAAAGCTTTTAAATGGTGAAAAACAAAACTTTAAAATTGTTCCTC